CGCGGCGCGGCGCGGCGCGGCGCGGAGCCGGCGCTGATGCCGCTGCCGTGTTGTTGTTCCCCGCAGTGGGTCGGCGCCCCGTGCGGCTCGCACGGCCCCTACGTCTTCTACAGGGCGTTCCGCTTCCAGCGCCGCGGCGGCGGCCGGGCGCGGGTCCTCTCCCTCGGCGACTTCTTCTTCGTGCGGTGCCGCGCGGAGGAGCCCGCCTGCATCGCGGAGCTGCAGCTGCTCTGGGAGGAGCGCACCAGCCGGCAACTTCTCTCCAGCGCCAAACTTTATTTTCTCCCCGAGGACACCCCCCAGGGCAGGACCAGTGACCATGGCGAGGTGGTAAACGCGGCGCCGGCTCCCCCTTYCCCCGCGCCCGTCCCCACCTGCATGCCCGGGTTCGGCTCCCCCCTCCTCTTGGCTCCCCCCACCCGCGTCCCCCTCCCCGCCGTGCGTGGCGGGGCAGCGCGGAGGGGCCGCGCCGTCGGGGCGCACCGATGCGCGCTGCCCGGGMACTTGTGCGGGCGGGGGGAAGGAGGGAGGGGGTCGGGGTGCGGGGTGCCCCCGGCCCGCCGGGCAGCGGAGTGTGTGCGGGCTCTCCCTGTCCTTCTCCGGCTTCCTTAACAAAAAACCCAACAAAACAACAAAAAAAAAAAAAATCGCGCGGAAAAGCGGGGAAAAAAAACACGTTGGGGGCATTTCGATATTGTTCGGGGCTTTTTTTAAGTGTTCGATATGTTTAAGAGGGCGGAAATTACGAAATGGAGGCAGAGGGAGATCAAACGCTCTCGAGCTGGCAGGGACGTGTTGAATAAAGTGATAAATGACAGGTACGGGAATAATACATTCAAATAACTTGCAGATATGCCTGGGCGTATTTCGGAGCCGCCGCGCTCCCGGCGCAAACGCGCTGCGCGCCGGCACCTTCCGCCGGCGGCCGCGCAGCCCCGCGCAGCCCGGGATGGGGCCGCGCAGCCCCGCACCGCCCCGCCCCAGCCCCGAGGCCTCCCGTTAGCWGCTTTTCAAATTCACTGCTTCAGCGCGGTCCGTGCTCCGGGGCTGGGCACGGGTGAGGTGCCCAGGCGGGGCTGCGGGGATGGACAGGGTCCCCGAGAGGTGCTGGAGACCAGGCGGGAGGGGAACGAGACGTTTTGGGGGAACTTGTGTTGGAGATGCCGGGTGGCTGTCCGAGGGGGGGTTGTCCGCAGGAGCTGTTTTCGGAGGCACGCGTGGCTGTAGGTACACCGGCGTAGCCGTGTACCCGCACTCACGCGTACGCAGCCGAAACGCGGTTCAGAGCCACCTTCGCTCKCTGCCACCTCTTCACTTTAATTTTCTGTGCGTGCCGCTGAGATAAGGGAGCCTTTTCCTAAGAATCGGGGAGATGACAGTGAGCAATGGATGCTCTGAAATTGCCCGTGGTGACTATTTAAAACTGTGCCTCTGCGTGTCTCGTGTGTGTGTAAAATGAAAGATATTTGGAAGGGAGGGGGGTGGGGAAAGGGACACAAATCATTTTAATACGCCTTAATGATCAGCTCATGTTACTGTGGTAGGAACATCAGAGAAAATTAATCCTACCATTACAAGTAAAACACTGCTCTGGTACGAGAGTTTTCAGCTGCATGTACCTTCCTAATAATACGCACAATTTTATTTATTTTTACGTGCAAACACCGCTAGTAATTAGCCGTGTGATTATACTTGTGCATTTCATTGAAGCTTTAACTGATGTCATTCTGCATTATTCAACCATATGAAAACAATTTTCAATTAAGATAATGGCACGCCTTGAAATTATGCAAATGCAGGCCGTATTGTGTAGAATAATTATGACAAATGTAAAGCAGGTAAAAAGTTTCCTAATGCAGTTGTGTTTTACACCCCGGTGATGTCATTTCCCCTCTGGCCTAAGTTAGTCATTCATTAGCAGAGTAGCAGCAGCAGCAACAGCAACAGCTCTGAGTGATACTTCTCTGGCAGGGAGCCTACAGAAACCGGCACTGAGAGCCAGGGCCTAGAGAGGGCAACATAACACTCCCATTAAGAAATGTACTTTGTTTTCACTTACTCCATTAACTTGTTTATAGACATAGGAATGATTTTTTATGATCGGTTTTTAATAGTTTGGAACGGTCTGAGCAATGCTCGGGGACGTGCAGGCAGCAGAGAAACAAAAGGTTGGGTGCTGGCTGAGTGGGGGTGACTCCTCTCTTTGGGGCGCAGTGGCAGTGGTTTCCCCTAAACACCCTGAAGTCCCAGTCCCTTCGGTGAATGATATCCATATGGGTCCCCAAAGGGACAGCAGGGCGGTCTCTGGGGTCACAGGGCTTCCTAACCCTGGACTGGGCTCCTTCTGTGGGAGGAGATGTCAGAAGCGGCTTAAAACCATCAGGATAGACCTTATTTGTGGTGTAGGACCACTGACAGGGTAAAACACCTCGTCCTGCCTTTGGGGAGTGGGAATRGAGTGAGCCAGTGCTCAAGCATGTTTTGCAGATCTGCAGTGTCCGAGGCAAAGGGTGACAGGGGCGCTTGCTGTCACTGAAATTGTTGGTGGTGGAGAAAGCGGCTGAATCGTGGGCTTGGGATYGAGCCCACCAGAGATTTGGGCACAGTCTCCAGCAGCTACCTGCGCTAGCAGCGTGATTAATARAAGCAGCTGGCTGCCTCTTTTCCGTAATAGCAGCTCTGACACTATGACAATATTCTGCTAGTGGCAGTGAGGAGGGAGGAGAAGCGAGGAGGGATGTAATGCTTCTGTTACTCAGAAATTTCTGATGGCGTATTTTATCTGATTGCCAAATGTTTKAGCTAATCAGCAATAAGTGTAAATACAAGTCTTTTTATAGCTAGCTGAATTCATCATCTAGATTTAAATATAACCCTRACTGCTGCTAAAACCGGATGTTACCATGCACTGCCCAGACCCAGGGAAGGTTCGAGCCCAGGTGTGCTTCCGCTGCATTACCCTTCGCTCCACCTAAGGCTCAGTATCCCCATCACCACAGCGGAGAAACTCTCTCTCCAATACCAGGAGCTGGCCAGGGATTGTTTACCAGGGAGTCTCAGTGGATGGTGAATGTGGGACAGGGCTGCAGGTAATGGTGCTCCTGGCCCTGATGCTGTTTGCATCCCAAGGACACATAACGTGGAGCGGCTGGGACCAGCTCTGGGATCATGCTCAGACCCAKGGTCTTGCTGCATGGGAGCAGTGGAGACATTTTTGTAAGAGTGGCTATGCCTGTGGGGCCACTGTGAGGTCAGCTGGAAGAGTTTKGTGCTACTTCACTAAAAACTTTGTTGCTGCTTTTGAAACACTGGGACTTGGGCACACTGCTTCCCACCTTGCCCCCAGCCCAGACACGGCAGCAGGTGCAATGTAGGCCTTTTCTCTCTTCCCTCCAGAAGGGAGAAGGTGAATCTCCTCCATCCTTGCAGGGCCACTGCCAAAACAAAAGTTCTTTGTTGGAGAAAGTCACCAGCTTGTCTTGGTTCGCATTCACTCTGGTCGGGTGCAGTCCCCTGTGTCAGCTGCCCATGAGTTGGGAAGARCTCCTTGATGGYGGTGCCTCACACAGGGRTCAGAGCAGGATGCTTGGAGGCCCRTGAAGATCAGAGGGAGTGGCTCTAAGGGCACCCCATTGTGTTTGAAGCACTTCCATGGGGTGCTTGTGAAAAGCAGCCCCCTGCCTTTGCTGGCTGGCACCCGAGTTTGAGAGGCTGTGTGTGGTCAGGGAGTGCTAGCCCAGTCCCTTCCTGCAGCGCCCTGGTCCTGTGGCATTCRGGGAGCATGAGGTGGGCTCACGCTCCAGCCCACAGGGTCTTGGCCAAACCCTCCTCCGGCTCATTTACTGCTCTCTGCTCCAAGGGGTGGTGTGGGGTTGTGGAACCACTGACCTTTGCAGAAGCAGTTGTAGAGCAAAATGCTTGTTAGTGCCTTGTGTTTTCATGTTTTTAAAGGTGTCAGCATTAATTAGACTAGGCTTTAAAATATATTTCAAAGTTGGTACTCATTAAATCCAGGGATGGTATTTGATGTGCTGCATACAATTCCTAAAAAACCCTGAACAAAMAACAGATTCATTCAGTATGGTGTGACATTCCCTGCATTGCCCCTGCATCGTGGTGAATGCTGCTTCCATTGAGGCTGGACTGTCAGTGGGGATCTGCCTTTGCTTCATTCATCAGCAGCAAAGTTTACTACGAACTCATGTTGACTTCATCTCTTYTCCCAAACTGGGGATCTGATGCAATGCTTTTCGCCTTGCAAATAATCCTTACTCATGCAAGTAATTTACATGAGTAAGCGTTGCTCATACAGAGGAGTGGAGAGAGCTAGTTTCCTGTAATTATTTCCCTAGAAGTATTTTGCATTTTCAGACTAATTGGGGAAAAGGAAAAAAAAGAAGTCACTCAGTAAATGTGTGTCATTTATAATTGCAGAAGAGATTCTTCCAGAAAGTTGAGGGAGGCAGCAGGTTTGTTCTCTCTTCATTTTGGGACAGATGCTGCTGACAGCATCCCTCGAAAGCCTGGTTCATTCTGTAGGGATTTCCATATGTGGGGRTCCTACCCCAGTGCAGAAAGGTAGCATAGCCTGCCCTAGGTGTGGTGTCTTAGTATAAAGCACCAACAGTGCTTTATTGCCACCCCCCTGGAAAAATGCGCTACTTCCTTTGCACAGTAATAGATTTTTTTTTTTTTTTCAGGAATCTATACACTCTTAYTTGAAACGAGAACAGCCCCGTTTTAGTCTCCACGGTGTGTGCCTTATGCTTGTATCTGTCAACACTGGTAATGGCAACACGTTTCAAACATGCAGATTATGATTATTAAAGGGTGCTTTAAAAATCATGCTAATAGCATCAATCTCCAATGTACACTTGCTCAAATTAATTCAGCTTTGGAAATCAGTCACACTGTAATAGCAGTGTTAGAGAAATGGCATTTGTCATAAAATATCGTGGGTTTGGTAATTGCATATCCACTCTGTGTATTTTTATCTCTCTCACCACCAGTAGCATATGCTGGCAAAGAAAGGAGAGGGCAATGATATTACTCAGAGAAGCCACATGTTGCTAGCCATTAGCCAGCAATCTGGAATATCTGGTCATTTAAGGCAGATTCATTTTTGGGTTTGTTTGTTTGTTTTGGTTTTTTTTTCTTTTTTTTTTGTAACTTTTTATTTTATTTCCTTTCCCCTTTCCCTCCCCTTCCCTGCACATTCAGACTGTAAAATACACCCACTGCTTTCCAGAGTTGCTGTTCCCAGTCTGATCAGTGGCACTAAACATTAAACTCTTGTCTTTGGAGAATAATAGGCCTCACATGGTACA